GGCTCAAGTGGTATAGATTCAGCCAGCCCGTTAACCTGTCAGCGCATGCTAAGTAACCATGGTTTCCAACATGGAAGATGTCCATGACGATTTGCTGAAATGGCCAATCAGGAGATGGTGTCAAATTGATTGGCTCTTTTGGTTGACTCAGGGCAAATTTTTGAGCAGAACGTACAACCTGCTCTAATATTACGAATTGAAGCATTCATCCCGGGCCAATAAACAGATTCATTGGCACGTGCCTTCATGCCAACTTCGCCTTGATGTGCAGAATGTAGGCTATGTAATATTTTTGCGCGTTGTGAGGTGGGGATAACAATTCTTTGATCTAAGAGCACTAACCCGTCGTCAACACTTAGGCGGTGCCTCACTTCCCAATATTCGCGGATTTCAGGTGCAGTGAGGATGCGCGTTCTTTGGAATCCGTTTTGTATTACTTCTATTAATTTTTTGTATTGCGGGTCGCTGCGTCCCGCCGTACGGATAACGTCTGCTGAGATGAGCTCCAGGTTGTCATTTGCACCGAATGTTGCTAATAAAGTTTTTTGATTTGACCCAGTCATCCATGTTGTCAGACTCTATGATGTCTGATTGAGAGGGTTCAGCAGTGAATACATTTAGGAGTGCCTGTGAGATGTCTGCTGGGTTACGAGAGACAGCATCGGAGGCTCTGTGCCATTTCCCAGGGCAGTGCTGAATGGTGAATCTGTACCTGAGGGTTTTCTCCTTTAACCTGAATAATCGGGGTTTTGGATTTTACTAAGGTCTCTATCTCCGAATAATCCTTTTAGTGGTTCATGATCTGTAACCACTATGAGATTCGGGCAACCCATTACAAAAAATCCGACATTTTCCAATGCCCATGCAATTGCTGCTGCTTCGCCTTCAATAGGTGCATATCTGCGTTCAGCATCAATGCAGAATCTGCTACCAGCAAATATCAGGCGCCAACCTTCAGGGCAGCAAACTGGGGCTTTGTCAGTGGTGCATGAGCAATACTTCTGCAGAAGTAGGAAGCCCATTCCGTCTTTGCTCCAATCTGGGGCAAGGCAGGTTATTCTTTCTTTTTGAAATGTTGCGATGCCTTTTCGGACTAAGTCAACTATGACCTTCTTTGACTGCTGGAATGCATCCTCCAGGCTTTTATTCCATGTAAAGTGTGAGTCTCGTTTTACGAGATCACGAAATGGAAGCATGACTGGGCTTAGTGAATAAGCCCAAGCGACTTGGTTGACCAGCCCAAACCATGATCTGGCGTCGGTGAGTGTTTTTGGTATTGGGAAGCTCAATATTGCCTCCAGCATGGATTTAGAAGGGGTTACACCAGAAGATGTTATTTGGAGGCCCCCAAACTGCACCGTGTCTTGGCAAAATTGGAATTTTTCTCTATTTATTACGATGCCGTTTTTTGCACAATGGAGGAGAAAATCGAAGGTGTGAAAAAAGGCTCCTTCGATGTCAGAGTCATAGAGTAGGGTGTCATCCACGATTTTTTACTTTGGTGGGGATGTCTTTTATTACTTCATCATATCTTCGGGTGTAGGCATCGCCAGATGCTAGGTAACCTTGTGGCATTCTCAGGTACATGAACCTTCCCCATTCTGTGATGAAGGTGGTGAGTGGCTGGGACTCTTTATCTAAGGAGATGGAATGATATCCATCAACAGCATCCAACACCGTTTTCTTTTGTTTAGGTGGCACTTGTAGTGCTAGCTGGAATGGTGACCCTGTATGGTGTGTTTCCCGTTTGCACTGTGAATTCAGGTGTTGGTAGTCTATGGTTCTTCGTGGTTTGCCATTTTTTTTGCAGTAATTACCATAGTTCTACACCAATCAGCGGGCATGCCAACGGGTACTGGGGTTATGATACCCCTTTTCACATCTTCCCCAAAGGGCCTGTCTTACGGGCTCTTTGAAGTGAAAAACACAGGAATTGGGTTATGTCTTGCTTTGGGGACTGCTCCTTCTTTGAGGTGTATATGTGCAGTGGGGCCAGACATCGGTGGGAATTCACCATTGTTCTTGAACGCCGTTTCGGCAAATTGATTTAATAGCCAATTCTTGAGCTTATCAATGTTTTGTTCTGTTGGAAGAAAAGGGAGTTTTTGGGGCGTGTTGGAAGTTGTCCCTCGACTTTGCATTGTTTAGGGCTCACGTCCGATTTTTTTTATGTGTGCTTGTCGAGGGCATGTGTTGCATTGTTGTTTGGGGTAATATTGTAGTTGTTGGCTTCGGGAAGTCTTTGGACAGTATCCCTACATCAATGCAGGCTGCTTTGCTGAAGTATAGCCGCTGAATCTTTTTTGCATATGTATAGGGCTTGTTTAGTTGTTCTTCCTTGGACGATGAATTCCACGGGGAGCCAACCCTGACATACGAGCGTAAAGCCTCCCACAGCTCGGACGACTTTTCTTGATGGAATGAGGTTGTCGATAGTGAGCCCCATATTCAGAAGGTGCTTAAGTCCCTGAGACATATGGTGGCCCCACTGTCAGGAAAGATTGTCATCCTAGTGCTGTGATTTCTGGGGATATTCTTAATTTGTCTGGGATCCGGTTTTTGGCGAAAATGGAACAACATATGCATCAATTTCCCTTATCTGGCCTGTGTCTTTAGACGTATACGTGCCTGTCGTTTGATTGAATGTGATGTGGGCGATAAGTGTGTCCATGGCGGCTTCATTAGCCTCTAGGCTTTTCCTGACCGCTTGAGCTGGTTTCTTAGCCCGGCATACCCTCGATAGGTGATTGGGCTTCCCACAATTACTACATGTTTGTCCCCATGCTGGGCATTTTTAGCCGGCGTGATTCAGTTCCTGAGGTGCCATGCTGGTGGCTGCCACAACCTAAAGCAAGCCTGGTGGTTTGGTTTAACATTGCAGTTGCAATGGGTGCTGGTACGGATCGCCTCGTTGGCTTGTGGTGTACCCTTCTGTCTGCGGTATGTTGATAGCCGAGCAGCAGCTGTATTTGAAGCACTGGCCATTGAGGTTTGGTCCCGCAATGCTGATTCAAATGCCTCAGCATGACGGATATTTTGTTCAAGGGATTTAAGTGCCCTAGCTTTTGGCCAGTAGGTCAGCCTGGAGTGTGTCATTTGCTATTCCACGGATGATCTGGTCCTTGATGTATATATCAGACAGGTCATGTTCACACGAGGGCAGGTAAAGTTACAATCAACGGCTACGGCTCTGGGGCGGACAAAGGTAACTTTGTATTGGCTCATCAGCATCCTGAGACATGGAGGCAAAAGCAAGGCGATGGACAATAGGACTTGACCTCTGGGTGACCAACACTTCTACCATGTCAAGTAGATTATCTGGATCAGTGGTAAAGAAGTCAGGGTGTGTGTTGATTATGGCATTTTGCACAGCCTCATCAGCACAATTGTATAGGTGAATATTAGCTTGGGAGTTTGGCATATTTGTCATCTTGGTAAAGACATCCCAGTCAATTCGGAACTTCCTGAATTGCTGTGGTGTCATCTCGAGATTGAGATGAGGAGGCTTGGCTGCTAGTGCCTGAATGCGGGTTGTCTGGGTGGTGGATTCCTTAGCCTGCTTAATGATACACAGGGCTTCTCCCATTAATGTGACTCCCAGCTCCTTAAGCATAGATCGATCCAGCATTTGAAGGCTCTCGATTGTCAGCTTCTCGTCCGCAAACCTTGTTGCATGAGTTTTGGCCGAGTCGGTGGATATGCCTGCTTCAATGAAGAAGAGTTCCCAATTTTCTGGTGTCATAAATCCTGTTCGCAGCGCCATGTCGAACAATCACGTGGTCAAGATAACCACTCAGTTGTGGAGCAAGCTGAGTGAAGCACTAATTCAACATAGAGACAGAGCTATTTATGGTGCAATGGAGCATCTCATTATGCTAAAGTGGGATAGTCCATTGCTTGGGCTGTGATTGGCTGCTGGTACCTGAGTGGAAGTATTACTATATAAATACTAGCATGATTTCTCAGTTTGCAGGATATGTATTAAGTTACAACCTGCTTTATTTTTGTCTGCCAGCTGGACGCTAGTTGGAACTCTTACGCCGGTAAGTGCTTTTTATTATTGTTATTCTACAACTATTAAACGTATACTACTTTAAAAAGATATAAATAACATTTTAAAGACTAAGAACTTCTAAAGGTTCCGATGATAAAACGCAAAATAGCAGTGTTTTGTTAACGCTGTATCACAAAAGTGGGGTATTTTAAAAATTCTATCTCTAAGGCAAAGCGTTTTCAAGATTGTATTACAAAATTTTAAAGGTTGTGTTACTAAAGTGGACTATTTTAAAGGATTTACCACTAAAGAGGCGTCTTTTAAAGGCTGTATTACTAAAGCGGTGTCTGTTAAACGTTGTATCAATAAAGCGTGGTATTTTAAAGGTTGTATCAATAAAGAGGTGTCTTTTAAAGGTTGTATCACTAAAGCAGGATATTTTAAAGATTGTATCAATAAAACGTGGTACTTTAAAGGTTGTATCACTAAAGAGGTGTCTCTTAAGGATTGTATCATCAAAGATGACCATTTAAAGGTTGTATCAATAAAGAGGTGTCTCTTAAGGATTGTATCATCAAAGATGACCATTTAAAGGTTGTATCACTAAAGAGGTGTCTCTTAAGGATTGTATCATCAAAGATGACCATTTAAAGGTTGTATCACTAAAGAGGTGTTTCTTAAGGATTGTATCATCAAAGATGACCATTTAAAGGTTGTATCACTAAAGCGGGATATTTTAAAGGTTGTATCACCAAAAGGTGTATTTTAAAGGTTGTATAAGTAAAGCGGCTTATTTTAAAGGTTGTATTATTTTAAAGGGTTATTTTAAAGTGGGGTATTTTAAAGGTTATATCGCTAAAGCGCGGTACTTTAAAGGTGGTGTCATTAAAATGTGCTATTTTAAACGTTGTTTTATGGGGCTTTGATTTGTAGCAGGTGTAATAATGACAGCTGTGATCAGAGCGAGAAGTATGGAATTGGTATTGGTTTATTAGTATTTACTGACCGTCTTATGGTCGTTGGTTAGAATCATTGAAGCCAGGCAGATGTTGAAGAGCACGCCAGAGATGATCAGCAATGACCCACGCCAGGTGTATATACTTGTAAGCGTCTGCATCATCTGGGAAAAACCGAAGATACCGCAAGTGAAGCCTACACTGACCAAGGCGTTTGGGATTCTAACATTCTCAAAGTGTTGACCAATGGCGATGAAAATAGACACGTAAGACAGACATGCACCAAAACCTGTGGAGAGACATAGAGAGTGACAGAGAACGAGCGAGCGAGAGAGTGACACAGAGAGAGAGAGAGAGAGAGAGAGAGAGAGAGACACAGAGAGAGAATGACAGAGAGCGAGCGAGCGAGCGGGAGAGAGACAGAGAGAGAGAGAGAGAGCGAAAAAGTGACAGATAGCGAGCTAGAGCGAGAGTGACTGACAGAGAAAGGGAGAGAGTGTAAGAGAGCGAGCGAGAGAGTGACAGAGAGAAAGGACGAGAGAGAGAGTGACAGAGAGCGAGCTAGAGCGAAAGAGACTGACAGAGAGAGAGAGAGATTGACAGAGAACGAGAGAGTGACAGAGAGATAGAGTGACAGAGAGAGAGCGAGAGAGACTGACAGAGAGAGAGAGGGTGACAGAGAGAGTGACAGAGAGTGAGCGAGCGAGAGAGTGACAGAGAGCGAGAGAGTGACAGAGAGAGAGAGAGACTGACAGAGAGAGACTGACAGAAAGCGAGCGAGAGAGAGAGCGAGAGAGAGAGAGTGACAGAGAGCGAGCTAGAGAAACTGACAGAGAGAGAGAGAGTGAAAGAGAGCAAGCGAGCGAACGAGAGAAAGAAAGAAAGAAAGAGTGAGTGGCTAGTGGTCATTATATGGACATGCATAATGCAAGCATGCGTTCAGCAAAGGTAACGTACATTTAGCGTGTGTGTGAACATAGATAAAAATAGTTAAGATTGAGGCAACAAAAGCAAATAAATAATAATAATAATATTAAAACATACTATTAAATCCGTAAAGGAGATTAACGAAAGTCTCTTTAATAGAAGTACGTAAGATGCTTAAATACTCCACTCACACTATTTCTTTAAAGGCCATGTCCTTTCAGAAGGCAGACTCCCGTTGCTTTATCAAATTTGAAATGCCATGACGTCTTGGGAAAAGATGTAGGGTTTCCTGTTGCTTTCTCCACGGTTTTGAATTCAAATGTTTATTTCTCCGAGACTAGCTGCCTCCTCTTTAGTCTAATCTACTATTTAACCCGTAGCTAGGGGAGAAGAGATGATTTTCTTCCTTTCCAAAGAGTATGGCGCATATTAAAGAGAACGAAACACAGTAGGCAGGAATTTGATCTCGGATTGACGATTGAACATACAACGCCGATAACCAGTGCTCTACCTGCACATTCATAAAGAAATCTTAGTAGCGTGACTGCCGCATAGGGAAGGCGAATTGGCATTAATTATGATGTCTGGGTATAGTAAAGGATATGAGAAAAGTATTTAATTATAATAAATTGAAGTGACATCTGTAATTGTGCGGGTTTGAACTCATCACTTAATAGGTTTTCAACTAACAATCAAAACAAGAAGCACCCCTCACTCGACACTAAAAAATGACAAAATGAGGTAGACCAACTAATGCAGTTAGTTGGGGTCATGGTCTGAAACCAGTAAAAGGAATTTTGTTATTTTGAATACTACCCATCAGTTATGACTTATAATTATTTTCCAATCGTAGCTTAGATGCAGCACAAGGCCGAAAGTATGGGGCACCCAGTGAGGATCGAACTCACTACTCAGTGAGTATAATTCAAAAAATACGCTCTTAAGTAGGCGCCGGAGGGGGTCGTCAGGGATATAATTTGACTTAGTTCATCAGGGAGTTTCGGGTCTTTCAACATCATACTCCCCATCACCAAGTCGACACAATCGGGGGGGGGGATCAGTCCCTGACCACCTCCACCTTTTAGTCAAACGCTAACATCTACTCTGGCCTTTTAATGAATTAGACAAAGAAAGACCACATTTTCCGCACACCCGATTGGATGTTTTTAACAACCAATCCGCTGCGAGAACTATCTTTTAAATGGTCCACGGTGGGAACTGGCTTCTTTTCTTTTTTCGGTGGATAGCAGTTTCAATGGATAACCGAGGAGGTAATCTAACGTTCCTAAATTTAACCCTTTTTCCGAAGTATGGTATAGTACCTTATTTGCCGTTTTGATTTTATTTGTGCTTTTTTGTTGGGGTGGGGGAGACTTAAACTCAACCCTAGTATCACATTTTTATCGTTTAGCCTGATTCTTAGCATTATTACAGGTCAGTTAATTTTAAATGGATGTATACGCAAAGTGAAAATAATTGTCCATAAATATGCCGTATATTTTGACTGTACACACAAAAAATAAAAAATAAAAAAATGAAATAAAAAATAATAGAAAAAAATAAAATAAATACATAAAACACCATAATATTCCTTAAAATTGATTTAAAACTATTTACAAATTTGGAATCGGTTAAAATGCAATAAACTACGAAATATGAGTAATTGATTTAGCGAGACAAGCTTGCTTAACCATTACACCACCTGGAGATGCCCCGGTTATACCTTATATATATATAAGGTCAAGAATTCTACTGACACTGGCGTATGTGATCGGAGAACGAAATCATTAAAATCCTTCCTCTGATTCTGTTTAAAGCAGTTTGTAACTGATCACCTGAAAGGAACATGTTCTCCATAAATACAGGGACTCATTACGAGATGTGTTATTCTTCCTCTGATGTATCAAAGAGACAGAACGTCACAGTTGTCCTAAACCGAAGTAAATAGCCCAACCGAAATGCTGCCTTCCGACCAGCCATTCAGTCAGTTCTGTGGTTCAAACTGGTGATGCGCATATTGAACATTTGTGAAGCTTTGTGAAAAATCTACATCCATTTGAATATCTTCTTCGAGATTTTAGAAATAAAAATCTTTTATTATTCAACATGAAGTCTATTTAATTTCGTTTGCCTGGGACATTTAGTTACTCAGATATTCACATTTTAATTATGTATTATAGCGAGACTTCCATCTTTTTTTAATTATACAAAGAATATTTTCTCCAAAGAAAACAAAGTCAATTTTGCCCCATTTCTACAGCAGATGCTTTTGTTGGGAAAATGGTTGCAGTATCTTTTATAAAACAAAATACCTTAATTCTTTTAACGGTGAGACCCGCCTTATGATATACTATACCTCATGCGACCCATTGTTTAAAAAAGGTTGCCCATACCTGCACTAGATCGTTGTCCCAGAAGATTGAATAAATGATCTGACTCAAATCTGTAGATGGTTACCGAATGCGGCAGACAATATGAGGGCACTAGTCTGAACAGATCAAAGCATAAAGTTATCTTCTAAGGGATTAGCTCAGTTTATCGTTTCCAGGAATTTGTTGAGATTATTTGGTGATGAAAGTGCTCGGAAATACGGACAATAAGCTGTAGTTTCTATAATAAGAAATTAATCTGCAACTTTTCTTATCTATTAAAACCTGGTCTCATTGGATGCCCCATACTTTCGGCCTTGTGCCACATCTAAGCTACGACGTGGTGTAATGGTTAGCAAGTTTGTCTCACTAGAACAATTATAACTGATTAATGAGTTCGACCCTCACTGGGTGCCCAGTCGAATCCATTACATTCACTTATATACTTATAGACCGAAGTGAATAAGCCCAGACGAACTTCTGCCTTCCGACCAGCTATTCAGTCACCTCGACTGTTTTACTTCGCCTGTCTAGGAATAATTCAGATGTTATCTCTGACCACTTAATACCCAAACATGTAATTATAGTTGGGTGATAAGAATTTTTCGTTTCAAAAAAATAATCAAGTACTTGTGCAGAAACAGAAGAAAGAGATAAGATAATGGCAAAGCCAGGTCATTAATACGCTGTTGAGAAAGTCTTTCTTCATTTGGGACTGTAAAAGATTAAATAAAAGTGTATAACAATAGTTTAGACACGTTGTCTTTCGTGCCTTGGAGGGTCTGAGATGCAGAAAAATTTTGAATAGTTTCAACCAACCTTGAACGGCGTAGTGGGGAGATAATTTTACTAGGAGGAAGATCTACTCAGATCAATAATCACAACGTGGGCGAGTAGACCTCTCGTCGAATGCCACATACTCACCTCGCCTGCTAGTTTACAGCCCTACTTATTCGAAGTCAGTTTAACTTTTATAAAATATAGAATGGTTTTCTAGCCTGAAATACGCCTATAGTGGGCTATGATAAGTTTTTAGCCACCCTTGATTACAGTAATTTTGGCTTGTTTAATAACGTCTCTTCTTTTTCTTCAGACAATACCGTATTAGTATCAAGCTACTCTCATCTATGAACAATAGTTAACTTATATCTTGCAATGAAAGTTCGTGGAAGTAAGGAAATTAGTGAATTTCAATGAGGGCAAATAATAGGATGACATCAATGTGTCAAGTCAAATAGAGAAATTGCTAGGTTTTTCCAGGTTAATTATCAAACGGTTAATAATATTGTCAAGGAATTTAATGAAGAAGGCCATTGTCGTGTGGAACAACTTTCAGGAAGATAAATGTCAACGAAAGAGATTTCATCGATATGACACTCTGACAATATCAAAGTCCTGGAATGTTGAAATGTTTCGATGAAAAATCGATTTTTGGAAAAAAATATTTTGATTTGTCCCTACTTATACTACACTACTTACCCTACTTACCATATTTGAGTGAATCTACAGTAGCACCTAAAATGCGAATCAATCGGATTTGTCTAAATTTCTTAGATAATAATAATAATAATAATAATAATAATAATAATAATAAATTGGAAATATGCAGGAAGCGTAACCTCGAGTGCGCAGAGAAGTGGTATCACCGTCTGTAATCGAGAATGACCATCTTAACTGACAGGCGCTTGGAGAGCAATCGCCCAGGTATCAAATTTGTGCATATAACATTCCGGAATGGATTCTGAGTGAGATTCGGTGCATTGGGTTAAGAACATCGTAAAGGTGGAGCAGGTTATAATACACAACCATCAAGACCAGGCAGAGCAAATCAGTGTGGACTTATCTTATCGAGAATCTATCAGGAAGATGGATGTGCTGTTGAAATGGCCACCACGTTCTCCTGACATGACACCTTTTGATTTTTTGCTTTGGGGCTATGTGAAAGGACAGGTCTATATCCCCCTCTTCCTATAAAGCTTAGAGAAATTTAAGCATTTAATCCCAGAGGCGCTGGTGAACGTTGCGCAAGGCATGCTGCAGCGTGTTTGGCAGGAGCTGGACTATCAACTTGACGTCTGTCGTATCACTGGTGGTGCGCATATTGTGAAGCTTTGTAAAATCGATTATAAAATCTACATCCCTTTGAATATCTTGTTCGAATTTTGAGAAATAAATCTTTTATTGTTCAACATGAAGCCTATTTAATTTCGTTTGCCTGGGGCATTTATTTACTTAGATATTCACATTTTAATTATGTATTATAGCGAGACTTCCATCATTTTTTAATTATACAAAGAATATTTTCCCCAAAGAAAACAAAGTCAAATTTTCCCCATTTCTACGGCAGATGCTTTTGTTGGGAAAATGGTTGCAGTATGTTTAATAAAACAAAATACCTTAATTCTTTTAACGGTGAGGCCCGCCTTATGATATACTATACCCCATGTGACCCATTGTTTAAAAAGGTTGCCCATACCTGCACTAGATCGTTGTCTGAGAAGATTGAATAAATGATCTGACTCAAATCTGTAGATGGTTACCGAATGCGGCAGACAAGATGAGGGCACTAGTCTGAACAGATCAAAGCATAAAGTTATCTTCTAAGGGATTAGCTCAGTTTATCGTCTCCAGGGATTTGTTGAGATTATTTGGTGATGAAAGTGCTCGGAAATACGGACAATAAGCTATAGTTTCTATAATAAGAAATTAATCTGCAACTTTTCTTATCTATTAAAACTTGGTTTCATTGGATGCCCCATACTTTCGGCCTTGTGCCACATCAAAGCTACGACGTGGTGTAATGGTTAGCAAGTTTGTCTCACTAGAACAATTATAACTGATTAGTGAGTTCGACCCACACTGGGTGCTCAGTCGAATCCATTACATTCACTTATATACCCTTGGGAAAGGTATGAATCCTTTTCTCCTCCCCCAGCTATGGGTAAATAGCAGGACAGACTGTGTTCTATAGCCTTGGATGGCAACTGGCAGAAAGAAATGGCAACCTACTGCAGGAAAAAATCCACCTCGTCAGTCATGTATCGAAAGATACATGATCGCCTAACCGTGTATTACGCATGGCACATAACTGACTGACTGACATAGACTTTATTAATTTAAATAATAGATTGGTGGCAAAGTTTAATCAGGTCAAAGTTGAATTGGCTAGATGTAAACGTAAGTTCTTTGCTTACAGTTTATTTGCTAGCACATCTCGATTATGGATATCTCTTTATCCATATTGTAAATATAAATTACTATTATTATTAGAAGAGGAGGCACGGTGGAAAGAGGAGGCACAGTGGATAGTAATGGATAGTGGCTCGTGTTGAGGAATCGGAGAGCCGAGTTCGAATTCCAGTCGAATCCATTATATTCCCTTACTTGCTAATACCTTTGAAAAAGGAATGAATCCTCTTCTTCTCCTCCCCCAGCTATGGGTAAATAGCAGAGCAGATCGTGTTCTATAGCCTTGGATGCCAACTGGTCTACCGTAGAAAAAATGGCAACCTACTGCGGGAAAAATCTGCCTCGTTAGTCATGTATCGAAAGATACATGATCGTCTACGCGTGTATCACGCATGGCACATGACTGAAGCAGTAGTAACGTGAATTGTTTATGTTGAGCGGCAACAGGTAAAAATGTGTAAAAGAGGCATAAGAACGTATTAGAAAAAAAAATCAACAAGCTCCGTTGGTGAGAGAACATCCATGTGAAGAAATGTATAAACAAAAGTAAATTTTTATACAGTGTAACCCGGATAAGAGACCCGGATATAAGAGAAACCCGGATATAAGAGAGATTTTCTCTGGTCCCAAATTAGAGCCTGTGTTAATGTATATAAAATAGACCAAACCCGGATATAAGAGAAACTCGGATATAAGAGACTTCTTCTCAAGTCTCGACAACTCTCTTATATCCGGGTTACACTGTATCACCCGGTAGAGTTGAATATTTTTTGAATGGATTTTCCTTACGCAGTATCAAGGCATTATCACGAATAAATTACAATAATAAAAGAAATATGTTTATTATACCGAGCATTTTCATCTTACACATAAATCTAAGGGAACACTTTATTACGTATCGACAAATATCAGTGCTTACAAACAAATCCCAGAGATATTATTCTGTTTGTAAAGGGATTTCTCTCTCCAACTTGAGAATATCGCCTTTAAATATGATGCTACAGTTTTTAGTTCTAAGGACTTTCTCAAAAGAACATCGAGCGTTTTCTATCCATCACGTGACGTTGTCACTTACCTGTGAGCACACCAAGCGATCCAATCAAATGCAAAGGATTCGTGACAAAAGAACTAATCAGCAAACCTAGCATCTCGAGAATGCCGCCAATGAGCATCGTGTAGCGTGTCCCTATTTTGTTAACCATGGCTGTGCACACCATACCTGAAAAGACGAGAGGGAAAAAAAAAAAAGAAAATTTAAAATATAATCAGACAATAGAAATTCATCTAAATAAACAAACGGCGAATTCTGTATGTCTGTCCGTGTGTCTGAAACCTCTAACTCGCGTCACACTTGCTCTATATAGACAAATAATTCCTTTTTGGAATCAGGATGATCCCGGGATTGAAAATCTTACCTTCATCTGGTGATTGAACATCCAGGATTTGGGATTTGTGTCCGGATGAACAGGGAATAGTTAAAAAATTAAAATTGCATCACTAAATCATTATTATCTAAAATAAAAAAAAATGAGCCGTAGAAAATTAATGAATCAAAAAACAAGCACATGTAATCACTCACACACAACATGCATATACATTATATACACACATGCAAAGTCACACGAAGACAGTGTGTAACGGACAGACAGCGCTTTCGTTTCTAATATAGATTCGAACATCCACTGAACACACTTTCTTGCAAAACAGTGCCGATAAATCTTCATAGTCAGGGATCGATTTTACACCGCACTGCTATTGTGAACAGGACTCCCACCTTGTAAATCAATAACAATAGGTTTATTTTCCACCCGGTTCACACCTCTACCCGCTCTTTTGAACAGGAGTAAAGGTTTATCCCTCGTTTCCTGTTTAGGATCTTGTTTCCGATTCCTTCTAAAGTCTTTTCATTCTCTTTCACTATCAGTAGCCCTTTGCGTTTTAGTGGCATTATCGCCTAACTTGGGGTGAGTTGATGAGTGGACCAGCGTATTTAAGTAGTGTTAGTGAATTCCTGCCTTTCCTTATAGTAAATAGAAACTTCTACTTTTAAAAAAAAAATAAAGACAATCATTTAGAAAACTCCACACAAATCACAGACAACGGCGCATGCGCAATATATTAAGCGCATGCAATGTTGCATGAAGTGTGTAACTAACAAAGAATTAGCTCTTCTTTTATAATATAACTAGTTTAAAAGTCGCACTCCATGCGGAATTTTAAGCTCGTTCTTGCAGAGGGGCTAATTGGGTCGAAGAGCCCAAAACTAAAAAGACAGTTGGTCCAGCTTAGAAAACAGCAATGATAATTTTGAAGAAATAACTTTGAATTCCTCAATTCACTACATGGAACTTCAAAACCTCACTTTAACTTTGATTCGGGTCATTCCGTCCATTTCCGACCAATAATCAGTAATTATTGCACATTGATTTTTTTCGAATTGTTTTCTTTATTTTATTATAGTCACAACGTTTTGCCCATTGTATCCGCTGACCTTCTTCAGATACCTGTCATATTTGGACGGAAACCTTCATTAAATCCACAGGGGGAAAGGTTTTCTAATTCCACTGTTCATACTAAGGGAAATAACTTGTATTAGTTAATTGTTTCGTTAAACCTCCGTATGTACAGTGGAGCGTTTGAACACCGAACACAATGTTTATCTTTAATATTTAGCAAGTGGCAAGTTAATTTTTTTTTAAATCAGTTAAGTAGCTTTCTGAATATCTCTGTCAAGTAACTACAAGGAGTTTCTGGTTTAAGTCATGATATTTGTATGAATTATAAGCACATAACCATAAAGATTGTTTGTAATAAACTGTGGTAGAATTACTATTTACATTATTCGGATTATTGTCCTCATCTTTGTCATATTTGCCATATTTATTACAAAGGTTCGGCCGTTGTACGCTCCGGCCTTCTTCAGGTGGTTGGAATGCCGAACTGAACCCTTTATTTCGCTCACTGGGGTAGACTGTTCTAGTTCCACGTGCCATGTTTGATGGATGTCAGTTATCATTTATCTCCTGGTAATTCCCCTCTCCAAGTTCTCCACTGCCTTAACCGGGTTTTGAACTCACACTGTTTGGGTCCTGTCACTGGATCTAACTACTTTATCCTTGAGAACATATGGCACAGTGGATAAAGGCGTTAGTTAGATCCAGTGACAGGACCCAAAGAGTGTGACCTTCTAGAGGACCGGGGGTGGAGAGTGAAGATGTAAAGAAAATTCGTGTGTTTATATTTCCTGTTATAAGGTCCAGCTACAATAGAATGTTGGACTTGGATTAAGTCCAACTGAAGATAAGGAAGACAAACAAACAAGACCGATATATATAAACAAATATATGTATTAGCAAAAGATTTAAAAAGCACATAGTCAATTAACATTGTGTGTGTGTGTGTGTGTGTGTGTGTGTGTGAACGTTCGTATTAGTGAATGTTCGTAGTGAATGTTCGTAGGTACGTGTATGCTGGAAATGTTCTTTAACGTCTGACCGCAAGGTCAAGACGACAATTCTCCGAGACTACATTTTGCAGCAAGAATAGAGAAGAAAGAGAGAAGTAAACTAGTGTTTGTTATTTATAGGTGATCATTGGATCAGGAGTGCTGCGCGGGAAAATCATTCTCCATATGCAGAGAATCTGATTGGTCGATACTGACCAATCAGTGCATGGGTTTTGGGGAGACTTCTGGGAGCCGATTCTCCCAAAAGTGCACAAAATCTACTATACGAAAATATAGCGATTTCAAAATTGTCGCATAAGATAGCAACGTTGATTTCTATCCAATGAATGATTGTTATTGAAATTTGAATTTGTGTAGGTATGTATATATGTGTGTGATGATCATCATCACAAGTTGAATACCTGGTTAAGGCGGTGGAGAACTTGGAGGGGAATTAACAGGAGATAACTGGTATCCATTAGACATGGTATGTGGAACTAGAACAGTCTATCCCAACGAGCAAAATAAAGGGTTAAGTTCGACATTCCAACCACCTGAAGAAGGCCGGAGCGTACAACGACCGAAACATTGTGATAAATATGGCGACAAATATAAGGACAATAATACGAATAATGTAAATAGTGTACATAATTGCTCATCTCAGAAATATAGACAGATACTGTGGTAGAATCGTATCCAAAGATCATTGTAAACTTGTTTGTTTGCAATTTGAAAAAAAGATCAATTTGAAAGTAGTTAGACTGATCATAAAATGTTTTACAAGATCAGACTTAAAAGGAAACGAAACCTATTTTTACATATTTGAATTTTTTAAACTTGTGAATTCATATTTTCTGACTGGCCCGAGATTTACCTTAACTCCTCACTGAGTCAAGTTGTCACACAAGGTGGGTTTTAACGTAGTCTAAGCTGGTCAGATCTTGTCTAAGTTAGTCATAGCCGATCATACTACCGCTACACAGATGTTAAGCAACGGTGGAGGGGAGGCAAATGAGAAGAGAAAACCTCCGGCGCGGGACATATACTACAACTACAGCATCTACCCTGACGGGACCCCCCCCATCTCCTCCTCTGCCAATCCTTCCAGGAGAATTGGGAGTCGGTTGGGGGAGAGCCCCTATTTTGTGATTGGACCTCTAATTCGGTTTTTCAAAATAAATCTGCTTTTATTTTAATTTATCCTATAAAAGCAAAAAAGAACAATGAAGACCATATATCAAAAGAAAATGACGAGCTAAATTATATATCTACCATATTTGAAATAGGGCGTTCAAATGCTATACAAAAAATCACGCGGACAGTACAAATCCTGTACAAAAAATTAAAAAAAAGCACACGAAGTGTATTTCGTCCACGAAGTTTAATCGAATTACGATTATCACAAGTACTTTGAATATAGTTTGAATTCACCGTGATCACTCACTTAAAACAAACGAGATCAAACGATGAAAAACATCAGCGTCTGATTAGGAAGAAAAGTGATTTTTATAGCTTTGATAGTCGTAAAGTTCTTTATCAGTCATTCGCGTGAATTAAAGACGAACTTTGACATTCGTGATTTCTACGACGGTTGACGAATTATAGTTTTACCTCGAGGCACGACAAATCTGCTGCCAAGACCCGCTAATTTCTTTGTTACGGTTTTGCCAAATATTCTTTTGGATTTGAGTGAAGTTTCAGGGCCAGTGTTCAGTGTTCAGGATGACCGATGACCACAAAAACAGCAGAAAATATGGATAAAATCCCTGAACTGATGAGTTCAAACCCTCGCTAAACAACCCATAATATTCACTGGAGTAAGTATATATATTTTTAGAAAAAGTTCCGGAAATATTTCGATAATACTATGTGTACACCGTCCTATTACATTAAAATATTCTGAAGAGAAGCGAATTACAGTGTAATCTCGCTAGGTGTCACTGCTGTCGTTTCCATAGTTAACAGTTTTTTATGCGGTGAACTTACCAGACTCCATGCCCAATCGGTTTTTCTTCTTCTAGACTGGTTGCCATCTAAAACTAGAGAGCTCGATTAATTTTTTACGGCCTGTCAACCTTTTGCGGGTTATTTAAAACCGAAATATACTTTTTGGATTGTAAAATTAATTATTTATTTTAGCGAGTGAATATTAAATTAACAATCTTTTTAGAACAACAACGGTTTTCCAGATACATATCCCATTATTTAACCCATATCTGGAGGAGGTAGATTCACAACTTTCCCAAAGGTATTTGTGCGCAAGTGAATGTAACGAACCTGACTGGAATTCGAACTCGGGTCTCAGATTTCTAACTCTGAGACGCTATTCATCACACCAACCGCACATCCACTAGAGAATCATATCACGTTGAAATGTTCATGTTACTAAAGAACAGAACGATTTTTTTCCCTCCTGTCCGCCGAGGTTGGTTGAAACTATTCAAATGTTTTTGCGTTTCAACGGCCATATCATGTTGAAACACCGGTTCTCGTTCTGATCACCGAACTTAATCTTAAGCACACTGCATTGTTATTTTGTCTTGTGTGAAGAACAACTATAATATCCGGTAAGAATTCAATAGTTTTGGGTATTTGGGTAGCAATCCCTTTTTAATTCGTTGAACGAAACTGTAGAGGGAGCTTTGTTTAATACTTTATTATGATTTTTTTTCTTTTATGCGAACAAGTCTTTTCTTTTTCTGAACTTATTACAGAAGTAAAACAAAAGATGACAAAAAAAAAACGGCTAATAGTTTAGTCGAAGGTTTCACATTCATTGAATCCTGAAAAGACAACACCTGGACGCATAGACAAAAAAAACATAATAAAATTTAAGCAAAATTAAACTGTTAGTCTTATTCAACGAAACACACACGCACGCACACGCGCAAGCACGCACACGCGCAAGCACGTACACGCGCAAGCACACACGCACACACACGGAAATGCACAATTATTTATATATATTTGCTAAGGCGAGGGATATAGGGTTCAATCATCATTCAGTTTGTTTTGCAAACAATTGTGAGTTAACTCTTTAAATGATACATTAATTGAGAATCAACTCTTTAATGAGTACATTGATTGAGAGTTATCCCTTTAAGGTGTACTCTAATTGTGAGTTAACTCCTTAATGTGTACTCTAATTGTGAGCTAACTCCTTAATGTGTACTCTAATTGTGAGTTAACTCCTTAATGTGTACTCTAATTGTGAGTTAACTCCTTAATGTGTACTCTAATTGTGAGTAAATTCTCCAATGAGTACATCACGAATATGTTTTGAAGTTAGAGAGGTTTACATTACTCACCAGCTCCTTCGGATATGGCCGTACATAGTCCAGGCCCTAATGTCGCTATATCTTTGGAGACTTGAAAATAAGTTACAATCTCATAGTAGAGAACTGCCAGTGAATTTGCGTAACCCACGCTGCAGGCGGCATTGTACATGGCACAGATGATCAACACGGCTTTCAATCCTTGGCTCTTCCATGTTTGTCTATAGAAATAAAACGGAATATAAAAATTAAATGTTTTTAGACATTCCAAAGACGATTATCTTGTTACATAATTAAGACCCAAGTCGAGCTGCCACTTATTACATTACAATGTAATAAGTGGCAGGTCGTTTCCGAGTATTTTGGTCTACTAGTGTGCCTAGATAGTCCCTGTTGCAGGCGCCTGTTCAGTCACATTTTGCTTTTTCAACACCCTAGAGCAAACCTGTATTTTATACTGCAACTATACTGAGCGTACCTTAGTTACCGTTTCTGGGAGATAACGCATAATCTGGCGTGATCAGCAGTTTGAAAAAAGCCAATATGTTCAACACCTCGGCCACAATGACTTGTTACTTGTAGCACTACTATCGACGAATTCCTAACACTTTTGTTTACCCAATTTAGATTACAAGTTTTATATCAATTCGTATTATGGTTTTCTGCAGTTTCTGCACGTTGGGGTCGCCTTCTCCGGCCGATATTATCAGGTTATCTCCTTGACAAATGGTGAGATTCGAATCAGGGTCTCATGATCAGATTGTTCCCCTTGCCAGTTTTCCGATATTGTTGAAATGCTGTCACCCATTATCGGAGACATTTATCTGACACTTTGATGTGTGGTTTTGTTTGTTAGTGCTTTCAGATGTTGATTGTTAGTAGCAGATGAACGTCCTCTACCAACTTCATATTAAAGACTCGTTTCCCCACTGTAAAAAAGCGCCGTACCGTCCGATCATAAGTGGATCCTTCACCTTATGCCTTGTTAATATCGGTAGTATTTTGATGAGCATTAAAACCAAAAGTAAACACATCTCTTCTTTTTTCATATTCAAAATGAGGGGTATATAATGTTTCAAGTTAAATTCTGAAAGAGATTGATATAAAATTAACAATAGGACACTTTAGGAATGTGTAATGCAGATGGCACAGTATTAATGGCAGACCCAGAAGGAAAACTACGGGAGCTCCTACAGAATGGCGCGAAGGAAAGCGAGAAGAAAGGATTAAACATCAACTGCAAGAAGACAAAATACATGGTTGTTAGGAAATGGATGAGTCAAATATGCAAATTATAAATTGGAGATACCGAAATAAAACAAGTACAACAATTTAAATATGTAGGAAGTGTTTTAACAGAGGACGGAAAATGCGGCACTGAAATCCGAAGGCGTATTGGGATAGGGAAAGATGCATTTCAAAAGCTAAGCAAAGTATTAAGAAATGGAAAAAAATCGCTAGAAACAAAGAAAAGAGTACTAAACTGTTACATGATATATGTCCTCCTGTATGTCTGTGTGTATTGGACAATTTCCTCAATGATGAAATATCTTGAAGCAACAGAAATGTAGTTCTACAGAAAGTTTTAGAGAAAATTTAAACAAAAAGGAAAACTTACACTTAACATCAGGAAGAGACAGGTGAAACTTTTAGGGCAGATAATGAGAAAAGAGGGCTTGGAAATTTTGATACTCACAGGAGTAAGGCAGGAGGTAAAGTAAATGCATAGCGGAACAAAGCTAAGGAGAAATAAGAAAAAGACAAAATTTATTAAGCGCTACAAAGGGCAGGAAATTGTGGAGAGCATTGGTCGCCTACGTCCTGAAGGGTCAGGGCACATAGGAGGAGGAGGGGGAGAAGAAGAAAAAGAAGAATGAGTTTGGGTAAATGGATGGCGGAGCAAAGCTTACGAGAAATAAGAAAACGACAAAAATTATTAAGCGCTACAAAGGACAGGATATTGTGGAGAGCCATGATCACCTACATCCTGAAGGGACACGGCACACGAAGAAGAATATATTTGTGTGCAAGTGTTATAATAATATATTAGAACACAAAAATTTTATTCTAAAATCGGACATTATTTTCCGAACAACTTAATATTTTTTTATATTTTAGATCTATTAGTAGTTCTATATTTTAAGGTTTTACTAATAAAAATTAAATATGGTGGTGGAATACATATAACAGTTAAATATTTTATGATAAAAGCTCCAAATTTGGCAAATATGATGATAGATATATTGGAGACATAACTAAATACTGGGTAATCACAAACACAGTCTCTTTTAGGCGTGGTAGACATTTTTCAAAATGGCCGCTAACGGTTGGGCAAATTTTTATATGCCATTTGAACCGCATGTAATAACGGATATAACCTAGATCCTTAGTATTTTAGAACGATATAATAAATAAATATATGAAAAATAAAACACCACTAAAATCTACTTTAAATACACAAAAGTATTAATTTCTTCTTTTACACTCATTTGTGTATGTTTCTTGCAACTAAATCCAACATTTAAACTTTAAAATATCTAAATTGTTGAAATAAGGTCTAAATTTTATAAGAAGCCATTGGAGTTTTTTTTTTTTCAATTCAACCCAAGTAAAGCGATAATGCCACTAAGACGCAAGAAGCTACTGGGAGTGAAAGGGAATGAAAAAGACTTTAGAAAGAAAGGGAGACCAAATCCTAAACAGGCAACAAGTGATAAACCTCTACTCTTGTTAAAAAAAAAGCGGGAAGAAAGTACTTCTTTATGTGCCGCGTCTCCTCAGCACGTAGGCGATCATGGCTCTCCACGGCTTTCTGTCCCTTGTAGCTCTTAATAAATGTTATTTCTGTTATTTCGCCTAAGCCCTATTCCGACAGCCATTTAGTCAAGTTCACTAAGTATGTTATGCGTTGTTTTCCTCTGTCTCTTTTGCCCTTAATTAAACTAGACAAGGTGATTAGAACAAAACAAGTGGCTGTACTGTTTTATATTTTTTTAAATGACTAAGTAATTAATTGTTTTGTCTCTGAATGCTCACATCCTAAATAAGGAGAAGGTAACAATTTCTTGAATATTTAATAAGGGGTGATTGGAAAATATATGGCCCAAGTAGGTTTTTCTCTAGAAAAAGAATTATTGCCACCGTCCGTCTATTCGAAACTCAATGGTATCTACGACAAAGGTGCCAAGCCACGCCATTTAAGCGATAAAAACATCTTTCTTATCGCTTCACTCTTTTAAAATAATGTCCTCAAGGTGATTAAGTGCGTCATTTGGTAATATATACTAAAAACGCTATTATTATTATTATTATTATTATTATGCAAGAGTTGGTCAAACCCGACAACTTATGCCAATACACGATATAAAAACGCCATTAAAGATATGAAATCGAACCGTGTACCAGCAGGGTAGTCTTCGCGTGTTGACCCCAGTAGTCCACTTTGAACAACACTGCACTAGACGGCACCACTGAAAATCTGTGAACCAATATTGCAACGTGTCCGTTTTACTATCAAACTGTATGCCTTAACAACCTGTTATTGAGTGAACGGGTTTTGATAAAATTGTGTTATATCTCGCGTCTTGAGCACGATAAACCTAAGTCACATTGGAATTATCATTTTCTCGTTTTGATTGGGTGAACTTTATCCTATGACCCGCTTTGAATATATTTCTCTTGCTTCAAGGAACAATTGTTTGTTTTTTGTTTTTTCAGCTGCTTTTTTTTTAATTATAGTCGAAATTTTGTGGTTGTGTATATACTCGAATAATTGCTGATTTTTGAAACAAAGCTGAAAATGTGATTTTTTTTTCTAGAAAATTGTGTATTGATACATTCGGGCTACCATACTTAAACATTTGCATTGAATATTACCCTCTTATGGAATTATGATAGGTGCAAGCATTGGTAGTCTAGGCTGTTTCCTAAGTAACTCATCCTTGTATATAACAACTGGAAGATATCTTGGTACCATTTTTATATACTATCTAGTACTACATTTAAATTCTTGAAATCAAAGTACCAAAGAGGAAAGCTCATCAGAACCATGAAAATATTTTTAGAATAGGCACAGAGAAGCTACAACAGTGGGAAAGTGATTGAATCCAAGATGCCATGTCAGGACTGACAATATTGAAGAGTCTTCTTTTCAGAATCCCAAGTTACATAGCAGAAAGCAAACTGGGAAGCAGCTGACATTTTCTGTCAGCCTTTACCTTTACAAGAATCTGCTGAGACGAAAAAAATGGAGCATTGCTACCATATGTGGGTTGGATTGATCTCATGAGCTTCGGAAGACTGGCTAATCACAACGAACTACCTTGATGGATCTACCTGAGAAAAAGAATTGTTGATTGCACAAACTCTTCCAGAGATCCCATAGTCGGAGAGATTGCTACACAAACTCCTATGCCACACACCTTGTCAAAAGATTTTCAGATATCAAAGAAAATCGACCCGGTGTTGTTCTTATCTTCATTGTATAGTTTCAGTTGTGTACACACTGGCTACCATTTATTTAGTGGTTGCGGACTCAAGCACCGGAATATGTACCGAAAGTCTGTCTACCTCGGTTCAGTAAAAAAAGGACAAAAAAAGGCACCAGAGACGAAAATAAGAGATGAATAAACTAACTTTAGGTATCCCTTTCTATAGATGCATAAAAAAAGAATAGACACCTGAAGAAATCCAGATTGAACATGGTTGAAACGTTGTGACGACAAGACAAGAACAAGACTTCAAATCAATCAATGAATAATAATTGTTATGGTCCGGTTCCTTGTACCACGATGATAGTCCAAGGTAGAACCAATAAATAAGAACGCGAACACAGGTATGGGATAACACAGATATATTACAAACAGGAATATATACAGAGAAGTAGAAAGTGTTAGTATGAACAATCAGGTTTAGTAGAGAGAACAATGTAGTCTCGACCAGTATCACTATTCCAATGTCTTGTAGTAACTGTCTGAACGCGACTCTGTTTCGGACTGCCTCTGACTCGACTCTTGACTCGACTTGAACTACTGACTCGACTTGAACTACTGACTGACTGACAATACTTAGTGCTGTAGATATGCAACAAATGTGGCACAAGGCCAAAAAGGGGGTTGGGGAAAAGGACGGTCATCACTTGTCTTAATATAAAACTTAGCTAGCCACAACCAC